GGGTGGCTTTGACCATGACATTACTTCAGTGCGGGGAAGGCCAACCAGAGGAAGGGGAAAAGCAGAGCCTGTGAGGGTGGCATGCTAAACGTGCAGGGTCCCGCGGTGGCCTGCCAGCCTTTCGGGCGGGACCGCCGGGGAGGCCAGAAGATGCCCACTCTTGGCAGTGCGACCAGGAGCGCATGGACTTCAGCCAACTTAATTGACTCTGCTTGACTGATGCCCCCAAGGGCGGCGGAGGGCTGTCAGCAGATGGGTGCTTATCTTTCTGGAGAGACTGCACAGGGCAGGGGCCGGCAATGGGCTGGCCAAGGGGAAACACGGATTCAAAGCCACGGATGAGGCTGTTCTAAGTGAAAATGTTCCTCCCCTGGTTTCCCCGACTGTAAACAAGAAGCAACACATTTTCAGGGAACGATGGGCTGAAGCTAACCTGCTTGACCACCCGCCAGCATTGGGGCAGGTGTTACTCTAGTAAATACTTTCAACTACAACAGTGACAAGACCCTTCCCTGTGTCTTATTTTTAAACACAACCTCCCTTATGTAAAACAAACAGGGAGCTCTGGCTGGTGTGGCTCGGTTGGTTGTGCATCGGCCTGCGCACCAAAAGGTTGCTGGTTCAATACTAGGTCAGGGCACACGCCCAGGTTTCAGGCTCGATCCCCCCAGGGGCGTGCAGGAGGCAGCCCATTGATGTTTTGCTCTCACATCGATGTTTCTCTCTTTTTCTCCCTCTCTCCCTTCCTATCAATAACAAAAAAAAATATACAAAAAAATTTAAATCTCTGTTAAATGAGCCAAATGGACTTAGAAAATTTTTAAAATTAAAAAAAAATTGGTTGGACAAATGATACAAATCAGACAGAGTGTGGATAAAAGCCACTAAAATTCCAGTTCTTGTAACAGTGGGTTAAATGATTGGGACCCGCTCTTTCACAGAGAACCAACAAGCTGGATTAAATCTGAAAAATGCCTTCTGGAATACAGTGAAGAATTAGAACCTAGAGAGGTAAGCCTGCTTCTGTCCTGAGGGTATTTGCTGACCTAGAAGAAACAGCTAGAAACTTGACTGCATCATTGGCCTACTCTAAGAGCTGGGGGGACCAGAGTCAAACCCAGGGTCTCTCAAAGGAGCTGTGACAAACCACCCCACTTTAAGCTGGGACCCGAAACGCCTATACCTTTGCTATGGTCTGAATGTCTGTGTCCCCCCACAAATTCATGTTGAAATTCTAACCCATGAAGTGATGGTATCAGGAGGTGGGGCCTTTGGGAGGTGATTGGGTCAGGAAGGTAGATCCCTCATTAATGCGACTAGTACCTTATAAAACAGGCCCCAGAGATACCTTTTTCCTTCCACCATGTGAGTTAGAGGGAAAGGTGGCTGTGAACCATGAAGCAGGCTCTCACCAGACACCAAATCTATTGGCAACCTGCTCTTGGACTTCCAGCCTCCAGACTGTGAGAAGTAAATTTCTTTTGTTTAGCAGCCTGAATGGGGGTGGAGGGTTGGGGGTGCCTCAGAAAAAAGCAGACCTGCAGTCTGGCATCTCATCACCTGCAGAGCTCTGAGAACCACAGTCTTACATAGTTCAAAGGTGTTCTCAGACTGGTAGTGCCCCCAAGCCCTGGCAGAAGCAAGAAAAACCCTCTCTGAAGGAAGGCGCCCTCACCTGAGGCCCCGATTTATTCCTATATATAAATTTTCAAATACAATAACCATAGCACAGAGATAATCCAACACACAAAGAACTAACAGCAGGAGTGAGAACCAGCCGAAACACATGGAGACCGACTTACAAACCTTGACCAGCTGGAATACGAGACACGGTCTATTATGCAACTGTGCCCACTATGTTCAGAGAAATTAAAGACAAGCTTGAAAATTACTCCCGAGAAGTACGTACTGTTTTAAAAGATTTGAAAACGAAATGAACAGAAATTCTAGAGCAAATATCCTTGAACACATAGAGCACAGTGGGCCTGGAACTGAACTTGGGGGACGCGTCATGACACTGACTGACTTTATGTTCCAATATGATAAAGGGAAACAGGTAGTTTTCAAAATAGGGTGAGTATCCATTTTACGTGTTTTTCAGCAAGAATGAAAACACTGTCAGCCAGCCACAAACACAGATCCCTAAATCCTAAGGGATGGGGGGCGGGGAGGGGAGGAAGGACAAGCTCTCTATAGTGAGTTTATAAAAAGAAAATAGGACCAGCAGCCAAGTTCATCCTGCTCCATACCCACGGACCAGAGGTATCTCCTGCACACAGCCTTCTGGTAGCTCCCTGAATTCAGGCCTCCCTGTTCTAAGAGAACCCTCCGAGCACTCCCGGGCCTTCGCTTTAAGTCTACCGCATGAGGACAGGAATACTCAGTGGTCTCATGAAGGCTCTGTCCGCTTCCCACCCTATCGGCGATTCCTAACTCAAGCGATGCTACAAATAACCTTCATCCCTGCACCAAACAGCTGTGTCACATCCTGTTCCCCCCGCCGCCCGCCCGCAGCCGCCCCCCACTAGCTGCTATCTTTAAGCCACCAAGCAGACAGGAGAAAAACAATTAGTCATCCCGGCTTATGCCCACTTCCCCCACGATCCATGTCACTCAACGCGCAAGCACGGTGGAAAACGAAGGCTTGAGAGGCCGCGCGGGCACCTACGGGTCTGAAAGACTTGAAGACCTTTTCCAACACCTCCTGGAGCGTCTTCTTGCCGCAGGAAGAGATGTAGTCCTGTGCGAGCTGCAGGAAAGGCAGGCAGTCCTCGCTCTCACTCCACACGTGCTGGTGCCCGGGGCAGGGAAGGAGAAAAGAGACACAGTCGTCACACTCAGAGCGAAACACAGAAAGTCAGAGCTTTTTTAGTCCCGTGAATACGAAGAAGGCCTCCATTCCAGGGTAAGATTCATACGGTCATTCATTTTTTTTTTTTTTTAATCTTCACCCGAGGATATATTTTTCCATTGTTTTTCAGAGAGTGGAAGGGAGCGAGCAAGAGAGGAACATCGATGTGAGAGAGACACATCAATCGGCTGCCTCCCGCATGCGCCCTGACCATGGCAGGGGATCGAGCCTGCAACTGAGGTACATGCCCTTGACTGGTATCGAACCCGAGACCCTTCAGTCTGCAGGCCGATACTCTAACCACTGAGCCAAACCATCCACGGCCATATGTTCATTCTTGATTTGTCTGCACTGAAGGGGGTCAGAAAATATAGACCCTATAGAAAACCCGGTGCGTTTATTCCATAATCTCACCTGCTCAATTTGTCATCAGGTCTGCTCACACGTTGTAAAAAGGGCAGTGAGGGGTCGACAGTCCCCCACCCATGATCTCACTGTCCCCCTTCCAGTGCAGGTCAAGGTGTCTTTAAAACGGGAGGGAGGCGAAACCAAGAGCCTGCACAATCCTTAACTTTGCCTTCGGCTATAGCTGAAGGATTAATTAAGCATAGTTTGTAACCACTAACTTGGAACAAGACATTCTTTACCCAGATTAGCCTGTGAGAGGGGGTGATGGCAAATTTACTTCAAAATGAAATGAATTTAGGAGAACACACAGAAAAGTCGTCACTAAGTTACGTGGGGTGGGTGGAAGACTTGAAAGTTCACCTTCCCTTAAAATGCTTGAAGAGGGATTACACCCAGCACCACATCCCAAGGTTAACCTGCAGCACTAGGAGATTGGCTTTAGGTTTGTATTTTTTCTTAAGGCTGGACGAGTTTTCCTTTTTATTTTTTTTAACCCACACGAGGATATCCATTTTAGCACATCTTTAAGACAACTCTCTCCCCAAAATGTTTAAGGATTTGGAATAAGCCCAAGAAACAGGGTTGAGAGCTCTAGATACAGAAAGGACAGGCCCTGGGCTCCCAGGAGAACATCAGGGTATCGATCAGGTATCAAAACTCACTGTTTAGAGGGGATCGATTAATGACGGCTCAACACTGGTTTTTAAAAAGTGTAGAGGCGTGGAAGAGAGGGAGACACCGGCAGCCGAGAGCCAGAAGCAGGGCCTGGCCGCAGGAGACGGGGTTCACTGGGAGGAGGGTCCACGTCAAGCGCATGCTCCCTCCCTCCCACGAATACAAATGATTAGGGCGTCACCCAGAAAGTTACGCGCCCATCACGCAATGCACACACTTCACTGCCTTCCTTCTCGTTGCAGCGTTTCCAAGAACTAGGCCTACGGACTTCAAACACTGCTCAGATGTCAGGGAGGCCCCCGAGGCACTAACGTGCCACCTTCACAGCCAGTTAGGTGTGTTTCACAGGCGCAAAGGCCCGTGTCCCACACGCGGCTCCATCCTGGTGGGATCCAGGGTAGCTTCCGCCTCAACCCAGTAACCAGAGCTTCCAGATTCTCTGAGAGGCATCAGGGACCCTTCACGCTGTCCAGCCCTGAACTGCNACAGCTCAGGCTCCCCATCAGGGACCCTTCACGCTGTCCAGCCCTGAACTGCCGTTTCCGTGACAGCAGCTTCACTGCACGCAAGCAGGCGCGCAGGAGGTGCTGCGTCCACACGGGGCCTGCGTCTCCGTCGGCGGGAGGCAGCAAGGACAGCGCGTCTCACCCAGGCTCACGTGCAAACTGGCAAGAAGTGCATCTCAGATCCTCACCCAGGCTGAAGGTGGGCTCACCAGCTAGCGCCACCCGTAAGAAAACTTGAACCCGTCTTCCCTGGACGTGAAGATGAGCGGGAAAGCTAAGCTTAGGAGGCGCCCGGCGCGGCGCCTGGCTGGCCCGCAGCGGCTGTTCCGTGCCCGGCAGACCCAAGTGCCCTCCTCGCCTTCTGAGTCTGCAGGGGGATGG